CATGTTAGTAGGAAATACAAGTTTTATATGATAAAAGTAAATTTCGGCTAGCAAGGTAATATAAAGGTCTTCTCATATGATGGGAAAGGGTGCACAACCTTAAAGCTACAATTAACATTTGTTTCCACCAAAAACTGAGAAGCTGCCACAAAGCCAGCCACTGGAGGCTGTATCACTCACATACATGAATCAGAGGTACTTTTACTTGCCTACATTTATTCTTTTTTTGTATACAATCATTTTCATAGACTTGTAGGGGGTTTAAGGACCTCAAAAGTTATTTAGTATATCTTTATTATCTCTAGCCAAACTCTCCAAGCAGATGACTAGCTGTGCTCCATTTCATCATTATCAGTGAATGGAACGGAGCCAGGTCCAGGGGCACTGTTCAGGCAGGGAGGTACAACCAGGCAGGAAGTTTTGACTGTTATTCAACCCAAATCTCACTGTTTTCAGAAAAAAATGTAGAAGAATAAATCACCATCCTATTTACCACAAGACTTGATAAGTTAAGTATCAGCATAGGTAAATCAGGAATCAGTGAACCTTCATCTGACTGTAAGTTCTTGGAAAGCCAAAAGCCAGGTGAGGTTATGCAAAGCAGCTTTTTATCCATGGCCAGAGCTTTTATTTGTAATCAAAAGCCAGATTTTCTTATATTATGATTTCTCCTACTGTGAATTTCTCCACCCACCTACCCCTCACCCCAGAAAAGAACAGAACAAAAAAGTCCTTAGGATGTACATGAAAGAAATTGTGGGCATGTGCTCCAAAGCACACAGTTCTTTTTCTTGGTCACACCTGTCACGACTGTAAATTCATGTCATTTAAAAATAAATGTCTGCCTGTCTTCCTCATTGAAATGTAAGCTCCATGAAGGCAGACCCCAAGTGTGTCTGGTTCATCAGCATATTCCCAGTATCAAGCATAACATTTGGCACACAGCAGGCTCTCTATACCTAGAGAAGCAACAAATGCACTTGAAAATCATTCCAGTCCAACACTCCTATTTTGGGGCTATGAAAATGGAGTCTATAAAAGTCATTCTTGGAAATGACTTGCCCAAGATTGTATAACATGTTAATGACAAAGCCAGGATTATAACTGGATTCTTTATTGCCCATCCACATTCTCTGTCCATTACGACACAGAGGTTCTTATATCTAATATCCTGGGCAAACAACACTACTACCGATGAGTAGGGTACAGAAATATTTCTGATCTAAACATCTTTTGGTTGGCTGCCTCCCTCTCCGTGTTCTTTACCAGTTGGAACATAGAGACCCTCCTATAAACATGTCTGGTTTACACATACTTTATGTAGGACTCCAAGAACAAAACCCAAAACAGGATTCTATAGCCAGAGCAAACAACCAATTGATTCTCTCCTATGAGTGTTAAGTTTTACAGAGGCTAAGCCGCAGATGCCGGCTGAATTTCTACGGTTCAGCTACTACTAACTCAAATATTATGCTAAGCAGAGCTTCACTTTGTATGGCTTTTTAAGTTTTATCTTAGGGTTTCTTTAAAGCAAAGATTCAAAAAATAGAGCTTCCCCTGAGCACATGAAAAAAGTAAATGTAAATGTTCAGGGAGCAACGAAGGTGATTTAAAATTAGCTTATGGTGATGGTTGCCCAACTCCATAAATTTATTTTTAAAATTCTTTTAATTCAGACCCTTAAAATGGATAAATATCATAAATTATACTTTAATAAAGCTGTTAAAAAAATAAGTGTGAAAATGAGTCAGACAGTTGAAGCACTTCTTTTAGAAAACATTTGGTATCAAAGCTGTAGAGACATATCCTCATACTCTTCTAAGCACAAATTCTATCTACTCCAATCATGGTTTACCTATAAGGTCAAAAGTTTTTCCTTCAAATTTGGTAAAAATAATTTAGTAGACTAATATAAATATGTGCAAAGACCCAATCTCCATTGATGTAGCACTAAGAGATACTGACTCATTTGATTATCTGCATGAATGGTCTACAGATATATTTGCTTAATTAAGCATAGCATTCTCATCCAAAACCTGCCATTAACTAGCCATTGGGTTTTGAGTAAGCTATATACATTTCCAGGGCTCAGTTTTCCCACCTATATCATGTGTCTCCATGGACCAGATTAGAGTTAAGCAGTATACAATATATTAAAAAGAATAATAACTGCTATCATCTAATGAATAACCACAAAGAAGCCACATTTTAGGTAAATTATCAATCTCTGAGGAAGGTAGTATGAGCCACGTTTTTGCAGATGAGGAACCTGGAACATGAGAAGTTTGACCACGGCCCCACGGTTATTTAGTAATAAACCCAGGATTCCAATCTGTCCAGCTCCAAAACCTATATTCATTCTCTATTGCTCATTAGACCTTGTGCTTTTGATTTTATCAGATGTGGGCATGAATCCTGACCCTGCCTTTACTATGCTAAGTCAGTCATCTTCTCTGAGTCCAGTTTCTTCATCTGTAAATATGAGATTACTAATACTTAACTCCCAAGGTTGTTGGGAAGAGTAAATGAAAGTCCTTCCCTTATACTTAGAAACCATTCAATAATAGTCTTTCCCATCCCTCTCCCACAAAAGTTCCTTCCTGTGTTAAAAAAAGGAAAAAAATCGATAAATTCTATGACTTCCTTGTAGCCCGCCTGGATAAACCTCACTGGGACTGAGTTCTATCAAAAGCAATTAAGTGAACACAAACAACACAGCATTAGTCCTTTGGTATCAGTCCCTGGCTCTGTGACGGAGACTGTCAACAAGAGTGTCAACTTCAAGGGGTGGGCATCTGTCCACAGGAACTGAGCTGAGGTCACAGACTTGTCTCACTCTGCCCTACAAACAGATGTCTGGGTGACAACTCTTAGTCACTGCAAACCAGGGTTAAAGCCAAACCAGGTGGGAAGCTCTGTATCTCCTTTCTAATCCGCTGGGCCAGGCATTCATTCCCTAAGACAATACCTCACTGACCATAATTCAAAATAACTAGTTTTCCCCCAGAGTACTATTTTCAACATAATGCCTTTATTTTGATGATGTCTACTTATTCCACAAGCAGAAAAAAAAGTATATCTATAATAGTGATTTGTCAGCAGGAAACCTGTTTGATTTTGCAGATTAGAATGTGCACCTTCAAATGTTTACCTTGCGAGTAACCTGGTGAAAACTGATGTAATGTGGAGCTCTAGTGGTGGCAAGAAAGTAAAGCAGCCATTAGTGAGAGCCAACAAAAAGCCAAGGAAATCACCATTTATCATTTATTTATGTGTTATCATGGTAAAATCATTTATTATTAAACTAATAATGTTAAGAAGAAAATGGTTCAAATTTATATTCCAACATAATATAAGGTAAGCTCTAACTATAATGGCTTTCCTCCAGATTACAAATTAGACCTCAACAACTAACTTACATCAAACATCATGAAGCAGATTTAACCACAAAAAACAACTCAGTGCTGTGGTTGTCACTTTTCTACTTTTTACCAAGTTCACTAAGAATCCTATTAATTAAACAGTAGGTACTTTTCAAATAGCTAACAAGAATACTGTATACAGAAAATTCTGGACTCTAAGTGGTATGATCAGTGAAGTCCTGTACCAACTGTCTTGGGAATTTAAATAATCCCTACAGGCTGATGAGGTTGTTGGAAGTTAATTCCTGCACTAGAAAAGTGCCTTCCTTGAATTTCTGACTTCTGAGGTCTTTCCCAACTTAAAACAACCAAAAATGAAACCTACAATGTCAAACATTAACTCTTTGTTTTCTTGTTATCTAATGTATATGTCTTCTCAATTCAAAGGGCTTTCTTAAAAAAAAAAAAATACAGCTCCATTATGGTCAACAATGTAGCAGAACATAAATAATGAAATTTTTATGATATACAACCAGAGTTGACATTTGAAACTTCTAAACATGGTGCCTGGTTTAGCTGTATCAAAATAAGTTATCATGAGAAAAAAGGAAAAAAAAACCACCTCAGAATATGAAAATATACAGGATCTAGTCTTTCCACATGTAAGTATCTTAGGCATCATGTTCCTGAACATTAAAGAAAACATAAGACTCACTTGTCTATAAGTGATGATGGAAGAAATGAAAATGCTCATAAATGCATTAGCAACATTTATCTGAAATAAAAATCTCAAGACTCATGGGAGAAAAAAAAAAGACTCATGGGAGATTTTCATGGCTTATATCAGTTGAATCCACTAGATGTTTTTCAATGGACACATTCAATGGTTCCTAAACTGTTAGATCTACAGTTGACTGACTACCAAGCCTCAGAGGTCTGTGAATGTAGATTTAATGATTACACAGGGGTTTTTATTCATTGATGTCTCTCTTTTCCATCCTTCTATAAATATGCTGTCATTAATACAGTTTCCTAATGCTATACAGAAAAATGAAAAGATATAACAGCCTTTTCTGAGAAGTCATCAAGGATGCAATAGTTTGAAATGAGAAGCTCAAGATAAAGAACTAATCTCCTCTCAGCCCCCATCATTAGCTATACGGTAGGAGAGAGAACATTTTTGATAGAAAAGAATAAAAGCAGGTGTGGAAGTTAAGGTAATTTACTAACATAACCATATGTCAAAGTGAACAAATGGAAATCTGTACTAATGCAATACTGGCCACCAGAGAATTCAGAATCTAACATGTTCTGCAGTCCTTTTCACCACATACATGAAAACTGAATAAAAATGAAGAATATTTTTCAGTCTGTGAATCTAAGAACTTTGTCTTTGTATGCCATCTTGCCTGTATTTTCCTTGGTGATTATCTCCTCTGCTTTCCCATAACAGGCCTTGGTATGCTGCTTAAAATAATATTTGGGGCTTTGTTTGCCATTCTTTTGACTGAGACATGCTGATTTTATTAACGTAAGTTGGGCCTGCATTCTTTCTTTAATATTATTACAGGTAGACTTGACAGATACAGGACTTTGCTCTGCTATGGAGGAAACCTTGTTAAATAAGTTCCATTTTACCTGCTGGGCAGTTGCACTCTGAAGGTGCTTCTCTCGCAATTCTTATTTTAGCCATATGTTCATAGGATTTCTGTAGGAAAAGAAGAGGATATTATCATCAGTAGCATGGTAGGGAAATGGGTTCTTCAGGAACTCTCTGGTCATATGCTTGATTTACCAGCATTTGAGAGCCTGCATAACTAACATTTATATATGTACTTGGACTTTAGTCAAAAGGTAACAGTACCCAAGCCCTAAAAAAAGAAATGACTACTGACACCGTATAAAGACTGCTGGACTTGTACAATATCTTCCTCCATTCTTCAACTACCACCACTCTCCTCTTTCTCCCTCAGCTCAAGCATATGCAGTCAATGCGAAAACCTGGCTTTAACACGTTGTAGTTTTAGGTAAGCTATGGGCTTTAAAACAGCCACTATCTTATACATGAAGGTCAACTGCTTATCACGTTGCGCCGCAACCACCGCCAAATTAGCCTCTCTGTTGGAAGGGCAAGTTCCAGAAAACCCCCTAACTCTAGTCTAATGCCCTCCCTGGTTGTGATAAATGTCACCTAGATTCCTTTCAACTCTCAACTGCAATGGCTCTGTGTTCATAAACACCTCTACCACTGCATCCTTTATAAAAAATTAAGCTGCAATTTTTTTCTTTTTAAACATTGAAAATGAAAACATTTAATGTAGGAAATGATCAATCTAAAAATCACGTATCAGATTATTTCACTTTAAAGAGTGATTACCATTTGTGTATTAATAACACCTATGGCCCTAACCTTCTTATAACATATGAAGGACATAACAGATGTTATATCTCTGGAATATTCTCCACAAGATTGGAAAAGATTCTTATGTCACTCTAGAAAACTATAAAGAGATAAAATGCCACCCTGATATTCTGGCCACCCTTCCCTCTTTCAGTCCCTCCTATATGTTCAGCATGCAAACATTAAGAGCGAGGGAAGATGATAGAGACAGGGTGATATTAAAGGATGTGCATATACAAATATATGCTACAGTGAGCATAGAAGGTGGCCTAGCGTATGCACACCCAGCCACACCAAGTATGCATACAGTAAGGATAGAGGCTGGTCCTGTACACAGAATCACGCCTGTGCAAGATATTATCCACGTGCAAAATACCCCAGCCTTTCACACCTGAGCCAGAAGTCGCTCCACTTTCTCTTGCACCATTGTTTTGAGCTGATCCAGGCCATCGGGAAGCAGATGGATGAAAGGGTCCCCTTTTGCGGATTCCAGAGCAGCGATCCTCGCCTGGAGGTCGTTGGTTTTCACCCCCAGGTACAGACAAGACATCACAGCCACCACTGACAGAAGGGCCGCCAGGGCGGTGCACGGGGGCACGGTCCAGACACAACGCTGCCCGGCGGGGCTCTGGTCCTCAGAGCCTGGTTCCCGACCCCCACCTTTCCCTGCATGCTTCTTCACCAGCATCGTGGAGGGATCAGCTGCCTCGGCTTCGCCTCCCACTCTACCACTTCCAAGAATTTTTAAAGGAAAGAAAAGGGACAATTCCTCCAAAGTTCAGCCTGGGTGGCTGCACAACTAGTTGGCGGAGATCGAGCCGGGGCTCGGAGATGGAGCTCCGCTTTCCTCAGCGCCGAGACCAGCAGACGTGGACCATCCTCTCTGCTTTCTTCTCTCCGCCCAGCTGGGAGTGAAAAGCACCCTCAGACCCGAGGACTGACGGCCAAAAGGTAAAAACCGGAATGAAACCCTCCCGGCTGGCCCTCCTGGCCCCTCAGAGGACGGACACCTCGGAAGGGGTCCTCGAGAGCGGCCGCCCAGGGTCCGAGGAACAGCGCGAGAGGAGCAGCGAGGGGCCGCCGCTCGCCCTCGCCACCGAGCACCCGACCTGTTGCGTCTCTGTTAGTTTGCCTTATTTCTACCTATTCAGTGTTTTTCCGCACGCCGACCTGTTTGCCACCTAGATTCAGTTCCAGGCAGAAAGGCTGAGAGAGACCGCGAGAGCGCAGCGCAAAAGGGATGCTAAGGGGGAGAAGAGACAGAGGAAAACGAAATAACCCAAAGAGCAAATTCGAGTGGCCGGGATTAAGTCGCGGCTGCCCGAAGTATCTCCGCAGCCTCGCGGGTGCGAGCCTTAAATACCCTTCGGGATGCTCGTGTGTGAGTGTGTGTGAGTGCGCGCGCGCTCCGAGCGCGACGTCCCTCCCCCGACCCCCCTTCCGGCGCCCGGCCTCCAGCCCTGGGCTCCCACAGCATTGCGCCCCCCTTCCAAAGCCTCGGCAGAAGCCCGCCTCATTAGCATAACGTATTCACCTTCGCCCTGCCCGCGGGCTCCTCGGGAGACCCTCCAAGGGGGCGGAGAGCTCGGGAGGGAGCTGAGCGGGAGGTCTACATTAGCATAATACATGCAAATAGCGGAAACGGCCACCGTGATTGGAGGGGAGCCTGGCGACCCCTCCCCCTCCACGGAGTAACTTCAGCGTCCCCTAAGGCCACATCTCCCGCCTGGGCGAGGGGCTGAAGCGGGGTCTACTGTGGGGAAGGCGGTAACTGTGGCTTATCCTCACGCGGCCCAACGCCCCCTCTTTATCCCTGTTAAATATGGAGAAATGGCCTCCAGGAGGGAAGAAGTGAAGCAGAAATCTCTAGCTCTCCAGATCTTCACTCAAAAGCAGCAGCGGGAGCTATTGCGATCTCGCTCTGGTGCAACCTTTCCCCCTCCTTCCTCACATTCCCACATGCCCCGAGGCGAAGTGTCTGACTGACGCCCGAGGTAAATGTCCCCACTTCCCTTCTCTTCCCACCGCCGCGCTGCAGTCTCCGACTAGGGGAAGTTTTCTCTCCCCTCCCCCAGTTTCCTTCTGTCTTGATGGGGCTGAGTCTCCTCCCCGCTCGGTGTTCCTAGTCTGTACTAGGGTGCTAATGCGTTTTCCTGATTCCCCGTTTTGTGGGATTGAAAAAGGGAGCGTGGAGGTACACACATTTCTCAGGATTTAGGGAAGGACTGAAAATGAGGTCAGTTTTTCCTCTTACCTGACTCTCCGCCCTCTGGATCAAATTACAAGTTCTCTAATGGGATTTTTGAAAGTAGGTAATAAGTAGCATTTTACATCTAATTGATTTTGAAAAAAAAAAGCTCACCTTTTACTCCAAAAAGTCCCTTCTTATCTCCTCCTCACGGGAAATAACCATATATTTTTCTTATCCTTCTTAATAAGCTAATGTCAGGTCGATGCTCATTAATGTAAACGATCAAGGAAGTACTGCACTAAGCTCATCTTTCACAAACGTAAAGATACTGCTAGGTATGAAGCAGGGTAAAAATGTTTCATCATTTGTTGATGGAGAATACAGAAATGAAAAAGGAGTAGAGGATGAAACAGACACAACATCGGAGGAAAACAGTGAATTGTATTATAAAAGCAAAAGCAAAATTCCTTACAGTTGTATTACACAGTAGTCTCAAAGGGTGGTCCCAGACTGACAACATCATCAACTGAGAGCTTATGCAAAATTCAAATTCTGGGACCCCTCCCTACACCTACTAACTCAGAAACTACTACTACTAATGATTCAAAAACAGAGATGTGTGGGGCGCCTGGGTGGCTCAGATGGTTGGGCGTCTGCCTTCGGCTCAGGTCATGATATCGAGTCCCGCATCGGGCTCCCTGCTAGGTGGGGAACCTACTTCTGCCTCTGTCTCTCTGTCTCTCTCTCTCTCTCTGACTCTCATGAATAAATAAAATAAAAAAACAGAGATGTGTGTTGTAAGGAGTCCTCCTGGTGGTTTTGATGCAAACTTAAGCTTGAGAACCACTGGTGTAACACTTTACAAAATTATTTCAAATATGTTTTCTCATTTGAACCTCATAACCCTGTGATGCCGGTAAGGAATTATTGGCCCCATTTTATATATAAGGAAACAATTTTCAAGTCACATTTAATTGTGATTAAACATGTTTCCAAGTAATAGCACTCAAGGAATAGGTATAAATTTTTTTAATATGTCAACTCTTTCTGATTTTCCAATTACCTCTCTAACCATTCCTTGCTCTCTTTTGCAGATGTTTTCCTCTGCTTGTTCTCTAAATGTTGGTGCTCCTTAGGTCTTTATCTTATGCCATCTTCTAACTTTGTACACAATCTCCAGTGGTGCTCTCAATGACCATACATAAACTGATGAGTAATAAATCCATATTGTAAGCCCAAACCTCTCTCCCAAGCTCAGACCTATATAGCCAACTGCCTGTTTGCTAATTCTACTTGGATGTCTCATAAGCAATTCAATTTAACCTGCATCTTACCTCCAAACCCTTTTTTTTCCTTTGTTTCCCATCTCAGTAAATGGAGTTGCCATCTATACGGTGTCCCCAAGCCAAAATACCACCAATAACCCTTGACTTCTGCCTTGTCCTCCTCTCCTCATCTGCCTTAATCCCTTCAATATTTTCTATTGTCCTTAGGATGGAAACAATGTATCTTACAAATCACCACCTGGTGTCTCTCATCTCACCTTCCTCATTGCTCATCTTCCCCCTCACACTCTCCATGCCAGCTTCTCTAATGAAGGTGTGGAGACAGAGAATGAAGAACTTTCTTTGGGGTAAGGCACTGCTCTTTTGAAATTTCAGTGGAAAGGCCCCTTTGCGTGTTGACTGATGTTGACAGTAGGTCACACATTTAATTTGGATGATGCCGTGTTCTTCTATCATGCTTTATGGAAATTGGCCCTGAGAAGGTTAACAACTCTTTCAAGCTTTCGGAACTGTCAGACCTTAGTAGACAGAGTTGGAATTTTGTGGATTTGGGATCTTTAATCAGAGGATTCGTTTTGCTTTATTTCTTTGGTGGGCACAATACCCCAGAAATGTACCAGTCATTAGCACTAATATTTCAAAACCTAGTAGATTTTCTGCATCAAGCCCAGAGAAAGCATGGATCAAGAAAGTTCTGGGGATCTAAACCCAATTTGTTCTATAGATTCACCAGGGCACAGTTGTTGTTTTGGTTCCTATGTGGAAAAGGATTCAAAAAGTAAAAATAACACTAAAAATGATGCAGTCCAGCTAACTCTGATTTGCCTAAGACTCATATCAGTAGTAAGAAAAGGCAAGCAGCCGGTTGCAGAATAGTATGTGACTGGAAGTATAGTAGACCCCTAAAGATGTCCACATCCTATTCCCCAAAACCTGTAAATGGGGAATGTTTGGATTTGCAGATGTGATTAAGAATCTTGAGATGCGGAGGTTTCCTTCTACCATGTGGGTGGCCCCAGTGTCACCACCAGGGTCCTTATAAGAAAGAGACAGAGTCTCATAGTAAGAGGAGATGTGACCACAGAAGCAGAGGTCAGAGTGATATGAATACTAGCTTCAAAGATGGAAGCAAAAGAATATGGGAAGTCCCTAGAAGCTGAAAAAGTCAAGGAACGAATTCTCCCCTAGAACCTCCAGAAGGAATGTAGCCTTACTAACCCTTTGATTTTAGAACTTCTGACCGTTAAAACTATAATTAATACATTTGTGGGCGCCTGGGTGGCTCAGATGGTTAAGCGTCTGCCTTTGGCTCAGGTTATGATCCCAGGGTCCTGGGATCGAGTCCTGCATTGGGCTCCCTGCTCCTTGGGAGCCTGCTTCTCCCTCTGCCTCTCTCTCTCTCTCTCTCATGAATAAATAAATAAAATCTTTAAAAAAAACTATAATTAATACATTTGTGTTGTTCAAGACCCAGAGTTTGTGGTAATATGGTATAACAGCAATAGGACCCTAATAGAATCTTAATCACAAGAAATCAGTCTTCATCTGCTATAGTATCATAATCACTGTTAAAACCACAATAATGCCCTATAACTCAAGTAGGCCCTGTAATAACAGTCCCTGTGTCTCAAATGTTTATGCATTCCTATTTTACTGACATGCCCACTGGGAAAGAATTGGAGATATATGTCTTCTCCCATGACATGTAAAATTAGGATGCCCTCTATTGAAGCATATTAAACAGAATAAAATATGTTCTATTTCTTTGTTGCCTCCCGTTGGTGCAACTCAAAAACAATTAACCAGTCAAGTTGTAAAGCTGCTCTCATCTCTCCTCCCTACTGTTAGCCTAGTCACAGTCATGACCCAGGACTCGACATTACTGCTAGCACTACTGTTACCAATCTCCAGGCCCCTGAAAAAGAGACATAAACAGACTTCTGACAGAGAAACATGGCTGGAAGTTGAAGTGAGAGAGAAGGTGACCAGGAGAAAACAAAAATGAGGAAGATAAAAGGGCTTCTTAAGTAGGTAGAAGTGGTTTTTTGTTTGTTTTTTGTTTTTCAGAAAAGGCATCATCCACTTCTATTTGCCTCTGAAAGGCTGATCAATAGAGGATATATAGAATGGATGTAAATTAACACATACTCAAAATTTCGATGTCTTATGTGTATTTTTTTTTAATTTATTTATTTATTTAAGAGAGAATAG